GATCACGCTGACCAACAAAATGCAAGAGTTTGTGTACGTACATCATCGAAGATGGTTGTAAGCCATACTCTTCGTTTAACTTCCGTAAAACTCCGTTCCTGGTATTCCATGAACACGACGAAATTCGAATTTTACAGAATGCGTTACGGCATACTGTGATGCAATATTTACGGGAAAAACATGAATTATAAACACGGATCGACTTTTTTCTACAGGGATTAGTATTGGTAACAGTCCCAAAACCCTAAACTTAGGACGAAATCTATCTACGACTCGATCAAAGCTACCAAATTGGTGTTTTAGATCTTAGAGTATAGTTGTAGTTGCGTCCCCTTTCAATCATCATCCTATTAGTCACTATTGCAAGAGCGATAATTCTACGGCAATTAAACCAAACCTCTACCATTACTAATTCGTAATTTATGTGAATTTAAAGAATAAATGATTTTGAATTTCTTTTTTTTTTCAAAGAATGTGCTTCTAAACATATGTTTTTTTATAAAATGTAATTTATATTATTTCTTTCAATATTTGTTGTACTGTCATCAATATTAAATCAATAAACATAAATGTTTAACAAAGTATTAATGGGCAAGCCTTAATATAGGTAGGCAAAGCAAATATAATCAATATGAGAACCATCTTAGTTATTTTCATTCAATAACAAGCAATGTTTTTTTTTATCAATAATAAACACACTTTTTTGCAACTTCTATCACATTTGTTAGCACACTTGTTAAACTTATTTCATCTTAATTTTTAAGACCCATTGTTCCACATTATCGAGAACAGATGATTTGCGTGAAACTTCCTTATAAGCCTCAAAATCATTACCAATACATTTCTTTGGTGTTATGTATTTTTGACACCGGAAATCATCATATATGTCTTCCGGGACAATAAAAAATAGATTGATTATTGAATTCGGATCTCTCCTGAATGCTTTTATATTTTTGACTATTTTAACCAGTTCGCTGTGCTTGATAGGATGATTTTTAGATACCGTGATTTGAAAAATATGATTTGGCAAGATAATAAGATCTGTTGCACCAAAATTTCCTTTAATTGGCTGGATAAGTATTGTTTCATCATCATAATTTGAAAGGTGCTGTGCATTCCGAATGTATTTCATGGTTAAATTATTTCTTGATACAACCAATGTTTTCTTTAGGCCACACTAATAATTAAAATATAATTAATTATCCCTCAATTACTACTAAAAGTGATTGTATAAGAGTTTACCTGTCTTCCCTGTATACATCTTATTTCGAATTGTTGTTTGCCAACCTTAAGGAGATGGAGAACAAGCGACTCGAACATAATCCCTCTGCTGCTGGAGGGATCATCTGGATTTTGAATTTCCAGAAAAAGTTTGTCCCATCTACTGTCTCTTAGTTTTTGCTCGATTCTATTGAAAATATAACTAGAAGCCCATCGAAGAGAGTGCTCTCGGTAAAAAGTATCCGGCCATTTGTGAATAAGACGACTGCTGAATTGAATATAACTGGCATGTTTATTGAAGCATTGTATAAGTTTGCTGAAATTGTCAATTTCTTTAATGGCTTCTTCAATGCGTGTTAAGCACATTTTTATAATAAGTTCATAGCTCTCAGGATTTGTTAGATCATAGTTAGAAGTCAGAAATGCTGGCCATTTAAGAACGTATCTTGGTATACCGCCTACTTTATCAATAAGATCAAGCATCAAATTTTGTGGCACAGTAGTAAACATTTTTTTGCAAATTAACAACTCTTCTGTTGACCATGGTGGCATACAAAATGTGTACATAGGATCCTTAATAAATTCTTGAAATTTTTTGCTTTTGATACTTTTTGGCGATGCGGAAACTACTGTTCTTGCCCTGACATATTTGATGGGGCCTGTACCGTCAACCAGATACCACGTATCAAGACGGTGTTACTATCGGATCGGGAGAGCGTCAGTAAATGGGTGCCGGGTTTAGGTCAGCGATAGTGAACGAAAAAGGT